TATGCAAAAGAGCTGACTTTCAGATCTGTATATAGCCACAACTATCTTATCTTGTAAAATTACCCTTTTCACATCAACTTATTGATGGTATATATTTTTATAGGATTTTTTGTGTGTGTGAAGAAAGAAAAAACTAATAATGTCAGTGCAAAGCAAAGCTGTTACAGAATAAATCAGTAAATTTATCAAGACTTTAACACTACAAAGGAAAAAGTTAAGCTGTACTATTTCATATTTCATTTTAATTAATTGACAAATAATAGACAAATCAAATTTGAAAGACAGTGAGCTAGTTCTTCACCTGGAAATTTAGCACAGGCCTTGTGTTTAATATTACTTCACTGGTTAGAAAAAAATTTAGTACTGTGCTATTGAAGATGGCAAAGACAAAAGTGCATGATATTCCTTGTTTTATTGAGAGGGATTTTAAATATATTTTAAACTACTATTGATTTGTCCAAGAAACTTCATTTTAAAAGATGCCAAGTCTGAAAAATGGTTTATGCAATAAAATTGCAATAGAAATAAAGGATCTCAAACAATATTTTCTTAACATTAACATCAGTTTACAGAATATTTATTGGCAATTGCATGACTTTATTATTTGCTCATTTGTTAACTTATTTATTCAAGAATTACTTGGGTTCATATTATATACAAGTCAAAGACAGTAAGATTGGAAAACTGCTACAAGAGATCCAAGCAACGAAGGCTGAAAGATGAGAGAAGGTCTGGCAAACGAATCTTCCTATAGAAGTTACCTTATTATCAAAACCTGAGCTACCTAGGCAAATCGAGAGGGAAAAAATATCCCAGAGACAGAGAAAGTTTTATGCAAACAGAGGGAGGAAGGTATAGAGACCTGAGACAGGAAAGCTGGAAATAACAAGATAATAAAGGTCTTTAAAAAGACATACCAAGAAAATGAGTTACATTCTGAAGTTAATGGGATAATCTTTGAAGGGACACAGGAAGTCTTAAAATCAAATGTATGATTTAGAAAGTTCACAAGAAGAAGTCAGGCTAGAAGTAGTCAGAATGGGTAGAAGACTCCTGCCATAGTTTGGGAATTGACTAGAAAGCCAGGTGACATGGTGGCTGAACCCCTCTATGCTTCTACGTGGTTGTATCAATGAGTGTGAGCACTTGGGGGTAATTTTAATAAAAATCTGTTGGAAGTGTTTGATTTCTGTTTTCAAAAGTAAAGTGCATAAAGTTTGCACTCAAGTGTGCACTTTACATTTTCACCTATTCATATTGTTTTACCTATTTTTATTGGTAAAATAATGAAAATACTAACTGGATGAGTATACAGAGGTTCTGGAAAATTTAGGGTTTTTTCCTTTATTTTTAAGACACTGCCATCTAGTGAAACTTTTGTAAAATCACTTTGTGATGATTTCATTCCAGTTTGTATCTTATGGCCTTTCCTCAGCACAGTTACATTTTAATAATTTATGTTCTCTGCTATCCACGGGGAAAAAACTGTACATGCATTGAAACATACTATAGGAGCTATAAGTGATTTGTTTTATGTGGTGCCACAAATGTGATCTCAGGGCTTTTAATAATAGGATAGTGTAGGTGAAGTTTCATGGTTTCTTCACCGTGCCATTCTTTATAAATAATAGATAATAAAATAAAAGTGCTGCCTTTCTATTATTTGAGTTTTCTAAGAAAAGTTGAGATGTAAAAACTTGTCTATGAAAAGTTGAATTGTAAAAATCTCTTCATTAAAAAATACTACTTTAATTAAAAGTGTTGGTGAGAAAAAAAGAATCTTAAATTTAGAACTTTTATATTTTTCCAAATTTAATTTCAGTTTTAAAAATGTATCTTAAAATACAAACAAATTGTGTGTGTCTGTACACATCTACTGGGCCTAAGTATTAGGCTTTGATAAACCCTAAATCTTGATGGAGATTGTATTTTTTTCCTGTTGCATGAAGCATCTGTTATATTTTATGCATGTATTGCTCGTATTTTGTGTTTGAGAAACAGATTACTGGTAAGACATTTTTCCTTTATGAGATACTAGTTCTGGCTACCTTATAATGAGTAAGATTTCTAATTAACTAACTATTCAATGTACTGAGTTTTCTCCATGAAAATCAATTCTATACGGTAGGGGCAACAAATGTTTTCTTTAATGGGCAAAATAATAAATATTTTAGACTTTTTCATTCATATGGTCTCTCCTGCAAATGATTCATTTGTGTTTGCAAAAGCAGCCATAGACAATATTTAAACAAATGAGACTGGTTGTGCTCAAATATGACCTTATTCATTAAAAACAGGTCATAGTTTGCATCCCTCTGTTCTGAGGAAAGTACCTGTAATAGCAATTTGGGGTTATTTATTCTTAAGAGGTATTAGAACAATCTAAAATTGGTCCCTCTGCAATTATTTACTTCAAAAACTTCAATCGATAGATGTGTTTCTTAGAAGTTGCAGGAAGTCTAAAGTTTTAGGACTGTAATTATTGCCTATGTTCTTAGTAAGCTAACAGCAGAACAACTCAGAGGTAAGACATGTTTGAAAGTGAACTATCACTCTCATTTAATAAGTTCTTTTATCTTTTAAAATTCATCTTCGTGTACAAAGTTGTCTTAATGTGAAGTGAATCCCTAAATTCTCTAAGTAACACTTTTAACATTTTTATATGCAGGTAGATAAACGGTTTTGATGGTAGGCCATTAAATTAGAAAGTTACTACTTGGGTACAGTTTGGATAATATAAATTTACTGCTCTAGGTTGTCCTTCTGGGAACTTAATGTAAATAGAGGCTTAGTTTCTAAAACACTGAATTCTACTAGGCAGACATACAAAACACTTGAAGCCCTACAAGTAAATAACTGGGACAGAATAGAGTCACACACTAAGAGGCTGTTAGGGTGTTAAGTCAATGTATAAGAAGAACACTGTATAGAGTCAGAAACAACATCGTTTTTATGGGTCACCTTTGTGTCAGCTGATTTAGGCAGGACTTGGTCTCAGGGATCCTACTAGCTCACTCATGCATCTCTGGCCAACTAAAGGGAGATGAGGAGAGCAGCTGATCCAGCATGGGTCAGGAGAGAAAGACTCCAATACACAGTTTTTCATCTCCCATCTGGGCCAGCACGTTGCCCATGCAAGTCCTTCTCTCAGAGATGGCAGAGGGCAAGGAAGAGCAAGCCTGATCACTCAAGTGATTTAGAGACGCTCTCTGTATTATTCTATTGTGCTAATGTTTCACTGCTCAAAACAAGTAATCTGACGGATCCCAGTGGCAGAGAATTGCACACTGTTCTCAGTAAAGGAACTGAAAAGTTTCATGGCAAAAGACATGGATACAAGAAGGGACAAAGAGCCATTAAGGCAATTTATCACAGCATATACATACATGCATTGATCAAATTAAATGTGGACATGATGTGGGATTCAGTGATAAACTGAAATTTTTATTAACTCTTCAGGTTAACAGGATACACTGAAGCAGTCAAACTTTTTAGTAATGCAAACCTTTTACATTCTTAAAAATCACTGAGATCCTCAAAGAGGTTTTAATATTGTGTTCGTATATATCTATATTTCCTATATTTGTAAATAAAACAAAATTTTAAAATACATTTATTTGTTTATTTTAGGACAAAAATAACAAACCCATTACATATTAACATAAATATATTGCTAGGGAAACTATAGCTTCTAAAAGAAATAAGAAGGGAATGTTTTATATTTGGCAGATATTTTATATATATGTTTATCTGTATGTCTGTACTGTTTGGCTTAGTAGAAGGCAGCTGGTTTTATATCTGCTTCTGCATTCAATATCTTGATTTTTTTTTCTTTGTGAAGCATATGAGTAAAATCAGTCCTTGTGCAGATATATTGGAAAAAGCAGAAGTAGTTTAACAGCTTTTTCAGTTAATTGTGAATATTCTTTGATACTACACCAGAATTTGACAAGTAAGAACTTCTTAAGAGTTGTGGTGTGCAATGTGAAACCAAATCAAGGAATTTCCTATGTTTTATTTAAGTCTGTTAGTTGATTTTTCATTTTGAATGGATCTTTTATCCACGCATGGTATATAACAATAAGCTTTGGTCTTTTGGAAGATATTGGTTCACTAAGTTATCCATATTTTACAAATATTTACATGTTCCATGATATAGTCTTTTAAAAATTATATATTACTTCTAAGCTCATCAGAAATATCTTTAAGTACTGGGAAATGGTCATATTCACAGAAGTAGATCCAAGTTTTCCAAAATTCTAATTTCTCTTGGTAACTACTTTTGTTACTTGGCAACAAATCGTGAGTTTTTTTCCTTAAACTGACAGACTCACTTCACCTTCCAAAATACACCTAAGCATGTCAAATACCCAAGTATGAATTACTATTATTTGTCAATAAGTTGCTCTTTCATGGAAAAAATGGTTCTCCATGAAGTTAAAGTGGCTAACTCAGCTTGCAACTCAAACAATTGCATAAGTACATTACTTTGAGACAACCATCCTACTTCAGGATGTGGTCAAATGTTTTATGCATAATTTGCACATTAAACCTTAAAAATAAGAAAATTAAGGTATTGATATTTAATGCAATAGTATTATTTTTACACCTTTATCGAGGAGCTATATACATGAAATTAACTTTTTCCTGCTGTAACAGAATGGCTTTGACACACAATGACAGTACAAGCATCCACTACCTTGATTTGTGCTAAGATGCCAGCGATTTTATACATCACTGGGTTTGCATTATCAGTGCAAATGTCAACACAGTGAACAAGGCAAAAAATGTCTTCCTCTTTATAGTATGAAAATTGTTTTGACCTGAAAGAGTCTTGGAATGCCCAGGATGTTGTGGTTCACACTTTGTGAGCTACTATACGAAAGGGTAAACTGTATTTATGGTACAGCAGTTTGTCAGAGATTTTTCTTAAATACACTTGTCCTTGCTATTTTGAATCATTATGTAAATTCAAAATTTGTTATTATGTTCTTCCCCAGGGTTGTTTTGTTGGCTTTGATCTAGCACATGCAGTTGGAAATGTTGAGCTCCACTTACATGACTGGGGAGTTGATTTTGCCTGCTGGTGCTCCTACAAGGTATCAACAAACTCGTTAATATATTACATACTTTTATTACACATTGACACTATTCTAAATGAGAAGCTGGATCGGTGGCCAATTTTAAGAATTTGAGTTACTTTCCTCCATTTCTTTTATTACTATATTTTTGGACTTCAGTTAATTGTAGGGTTACATAATAGAAAACTTTGATAAATGATTACATTCTGGTATTTCTATGCACTAAAGAGTATTTATCCCTTCAATTCAGTTATGAAGAAGGAGTTTCTGTAAAACAAAAACCTCCACACTGTAGAACTTAATTCAAATCGATTAGGTTCTTGGTTGCATGTTGATATGTTGTAATACATCTACTTACGTAAAGATAATTTTTATGGAATCAACTTGGTATTGACATTTGAAGACAATATAATTGACAAGGAGCATGGAAATAACACCAATTTTATTTTAATTCAGGTGTTTTAAAAATATAATCTTTTATTAATATTTAAATAATTTGATAGCAACATAATTGAAGTGAATGAGATTTGAAATCAGATATATGTCAGTGGAACTGTTAGCTACTGGTTGGGACAAAATTTGGCCAAAAAAGTAATAGTTATTTATTCTCAATTAATTATGCTGTTTCATTTTTTTCTCTTTGAACAAGGTGGTCCCAACTTATGTTTTTATTATAAAAGTTCAAACACACATTTTGAACTTGTCAAAAGTTGGTTTCATAATAAAAGTAGTCAAATTATTACATTGTTTACTTCTGTCATATATATTTAGATAAACTCACATAGTTTTATTCTGAATCCAGTATTTAAATTCAGGAGCAGGAGGTCTTGCTGGTGCCTTTGTCCATGAAAAGCACGCCCACACAGTCAAACCTGCGTGAGTACCATCTTCAGAGTCTTGCGATGAATAAATTAATTTGCATTAATAATATGCTAAATTTACATGAGTTCTTTAAAATGTTATCCAATAAGAATCTGGTGGATTACAATTATTTTACTACTCTATGAACAATGGCATACTTTATCAGAAATAAATGGTTTCCAAAGCATTCACTTGGTTGAACAAGAAATTTAATGACAAAAAGGGAAGCTTCAATGCTAAAAATGAGTCACTGTAATCACGTAGAGCAGATGGTTTAATGCGAAGAGGTTACTTAATTTTCTTTCAAAAATTAGACTTTAGAAAATTTCGGGTTTCTCACATTGATGAATAAATCAAAGGCAACCAGAGCTGTGCCTAATAGGGCCTTAAATGTGGTATGTGAATATTAAAATTATATCTACCTTTAAAGCTAGAAACATTATAAGATGGTCTTGCAAGGAATAGCTTCTGTCCTAAAAGATTTTATAATCCATGAAAACTGAAGAAGCTGAACACTGAACAACAGACTGACTACATAAAAAGCAATACTTGTCAATTTTACATAGCACTCTTCATTTTTTAGAGCAAGTATAAATGCAAATGTGATTCATCAACAAATTTACACATTTTTATTTGACTGGGGAACTCTTAAGTGGTTCTATTATTTTTATCTGGAATGGAGATTAAAAAAGTAATGTTCTGAGAAAAAAAATCCTTTCAAAGTTGTTGCATCAGAATGTGTATGATGAGGAGATTGTCTAGACTCCTAATAGGTAATATAATAATGTTTGATTAGTTTTCTGAATCTTCTTAGCCACTGGCTATGTGGTACAATCTTGATGAGAAGTGAGACTAAATTAGTAATAAAGCTTGGAGCACCTCACATTTTTTGATGTTCTGTGCATATAAATTTAAGATGATGTTCTACAGTTAACTTAATTATGTCTAAAATTTCTCCAAGATTTTAAAGTTTTAAGATTAGATAGAGCATTTCCTTTAGACAGACATTTTGTTAGGCAGATATCTTCCTTGACTGTATTGTCAGTACATTAGATGTCTCCCTATGCCCCAAACTTTCTGAAAAGAATATGAAGCATATATCATATTATAGGAATATCATGCATGTTTTAAAAGGTCTCTTTTTCATATTTAGCGAGCACCATTGATAACATTTTACCTAGCATAAGTGCTTTCCATACAGACAATATATAAGATATTGTTTTCTTTTGGATGAAGACTCACCACTCTGATCATTTCCATCTCTCCACTTATTTAAATTGCAATAGAGGATCCGGCAAAGGGCAAGCTGGTGGAGGCATCAGGGGTGTGGTAAATAATCTACACAAAATCTAGAGAATGCAGAGTGTTAGCAGTTAAGCTCTGATTTTACAGCATCTCTGCTGCACTTTAGATTTCTTTCACCATTATTTGCCCTTCATGGGTGAGGAACAGGAGAAGGCGAAGGAGTTGTAGGGTGTGCACACATGCCTCACCTTGTAGAATCCCAACATCCTCTAGACACTACAAGTGATCGTTAAGTCTGTGCTCCCAGGAGAAAGACGATGCACAGATCAGATTTGCATTCTAGCTTGATCACTTGCTGGTCCATAACCCAAAGAATGCTCCTTGACCTCTCAGTGTTCTGGCCTCTAAATACAGGTAACATCAGCATTTACCTCAATGGCAATTACTGTGAGATTAAAATGGCATCATGCAGGTAAAGCTCTTATTACAGCCACTTAGAAGATCCATACATGTAGACTAAGTTGCTTGATAACTTGTAGAATCTTGCCTAGTACAGACCATTCCTCTCAGGAAACATAACCTTAAAGGTTATAATTTGTGACCTTTGGGACATTAAACAGCTTTGTTCCTACTGCCAAGCTCAGACTGACTCTGTAAGTCTCCATTCCTTGCATTCTCTCTCATACTGGCCTTACCATCTTACTGACTCCCTTGCTAATTAACGAGCTGAATGGAATCTTTATATGTGTTCATTTTATATTTGTATGAGAGCCATTTTTTAACTTTTTTGAGAATTATACAGTATTAACTATTGTCGCATTTTAAGTATGTGGCTTTGGAGACTGACAAGACTCAAATCAGCTTGATTCATGAAGCCCTCCTTACAGGAAACCCTGGCTGTTGTTGTTTCTTCGTTTGTTTGTTGTTAAAGTATCTTTTTGTGTGATATTAGAGGGACTAATTCCAGTGGTACCAACTTCTACTCTATAGTGGAATATAACTGCTTTTGTTGTTGCAAACTTTGAAAGGTCAACTTTGTTGCTTAAAAAAGGGTGACATCTAGTGGCTAAACATGTTATTTCAAATAAATAGTACAAATAACTTTTCCTGATCCATTCATTCTTTACAAAATATTTTTAAAGTATATATATTTAAATTATTTTTCTTTGATATCATTTGACTATATGTTTATAGTGCAGTACTTACGTAGTCAAAGCATTCTATAAAGAGGTGTGACAGGATGAAGGTGGAAGATAAGGTGAGGGGTGTTCCAGGTGTGGGGTTAAACAAAAAGCATAAATGATTATCAAGGCTGTTTATCAATGAAGAAAGGCATTATGGGAGTGGTTGGCTCGCCTGGTGTAGAGAGTGGATCCTGGGATATGTAAGCCTTCATTCTAAAAGTTTAATATTCAGTGTGTAATTTTGAAATATCTTTTGCATGATGTTTCCATTAGCAACTGGTAAATTACATCTATATCAAGAAATTTCACTTTCTTTCTTGTTTAAATAGTCATTTTGGCTATTGTTCAAAACTGATGACCTAAGACTTTTTCCAAGAACCACTTGCCAATAAAAAGGATGAGTAGAGGCCAGAGTCAATCCACTGCATTAAGCATTATAACTCGAGCTATTTTTTTCTCAGCTAGAATTTGACCTTTTCCTAGTTTATCATCACCTTTTGTCATTCCGGTGTCATATTCTCAACCTTGTCTGTAGCTAACAATTACACCAAATTGGGACTGGTTGTGCGTAAATGCCATCTTGTGTTGTTTTTTTTTCTTTAGGGCTGACTTCAATTTAGTCTACACAGTTAATAATTATTTCTCTGAAATATGAGGGGAAATATTTTTAGTTGTAAGAATTTGACAATCAGAAATGTATCACTTTTAAAAAGTACTTAAAAATCTTGATTTTTTTTTCTTTTTAACATTATAAGCGTTGACACTTCTGGTACACTTTAGATTAACACTTAACCTTTTGGTTTTAGGGGATTCAAATATATCTGAAGCCCATAAAAAGATTCTTCTGTAAGTGCTCACAGACTACAATTCAAGACACCACCTCTGTCTCTTGGTTTTTTTTAAAGAGACTCTAGCATGAAAATGGGAGTGGATTATGTGAGCTATTAAGTTTCCGTCTATGGCTTACTTTTTCACCCTGTCCAGTGAAATCATATATATTGGAAAACTGCTATTTCTCACTTTCCGTGTTGGCATAAAAACCTCCAAATTCTCTCGTGTGTGACAGCTCTTGAAATGCTTGTTTCTTCTATGATTTTTGTTTTTAAGTTTTCTGAGTGGCCAAGAATGAGGCCTACTGATAATTTTTTGAAAATGCTAGAATTTAAAATCATGCCAACACATTTCCATAAACAGCTAGAGGTATTCGATTGAAGGCTTTAAGTAGAGATGACATTTTTAAGGCTTTATTAAAGGCTTGAGTCATCTCCTTTATTGTAATAAGTAATTTGCAGGATAAAAAGAACCAGCAGAAAAGGCTGGATGACATCAGTTCATGGTTAAGGCAAATTTTAGAGCTCAGAAATGTAGGTTATTATTATTATTATTATTATTATTATTATTATTATTAGGGAACTTAAAAAAAAGAAGACATAAAACAATGTACAGGAAAGTCTAAAAAAGGATAAAAATAAGCATGAAGAAAATTTAGGAAAAAGACTAAAAAATTATAAGCATATTCCCAAATGTACAATTAATGTTATACGGGGAAATCAACTAATGCACATTTGTTCTGGGGAGTGCTGACTTGATATATTTGATTCTACATACTTCTCTAGGCAATACCGGAGAATACCATAGCCCCAAACTCATTTATAATTTAAGCCTTGTTTTTGTTTCTGTGATTCTTCATGACTTACTACTTACCACATCTTTGCCTAGTACCCACACAGGGTATCATAAAGGCTGAGAGAATGAGAAAGTGTAGGTGGCAGTAGCCAGGTGTATAAATTCACAAGACTCCTAGTAGTAAAGTGTATGAATTGATGAGACTAGAGATGCTTTCAAATTGGATAGGCCAATATCAACAGGTTTCTCAGTGAGAGTTCTCACAGAATCCCTAGCTGAGCTGTGACACAGACCTCCCAGTGTCTGTTCTACCTGTTTAGCCTGTTTCTGGAGTTAGGTGTTCAGTATGAATATATGAGTGACTTCTTGCCCTATCAGCCAGCCAGAGGAGAGGTACCTGGCCATCCCCTTAGTCCTTAACGCTTACCTCCCACAGCCCTTATCTTCCAGTGTATCATTTTCTCTCGCTTCTCCTCCAATGTATGTGATTACTTGTCTATATTTCATAAGGTTTACTCTTTCACTTTTTTATTGATTGTCTCAACGCCTCAACCCTTCCTCTTACCCAGGAGCACCTCATCCATAGGTATGAGTTCAACAATAGACATCTGTAGAAGACACCGATGTGCACTTTCACCTTAACTACTTGCTTACTTTTTAGCCCTTACTTTCATTTTATTGCAGATTGCAAGAGTTCCTGATTATCAAAGCATTATCCTAGTCCCCAAAGATACATGACAATGCAGGAAAGCAAAAATTGTCATGATAGGAAATTGTCACTAATGAACTACTCACTTATAAAATTAGCCTTTACTAAACACCCTTTCCCGATTAGTATCAGCATTTGTCTCTATGCATTATTATAAGAAAAGTTTGGTCTCTTGCTGATTATAGAAAGTTATATGTATAACACAATAAAAACTTAATGGAAATGGATTGTAAAGTAAAATTTTCCAAGAG